ACAGACAGAGAGAGACATAGAGACAGAAAACGAGAAATCACCCCCCAGGGGGGATGGTCACGCCGCAATCCCTTCTCCTCCATTCTCCTCTCAGGATCTTGGGCATGCACGCACACATGCCCGGCGTGAGTTTTAAGCCACCGGGTCCGGGACGCAAACCGCGGTCAGCTACATGAGAGTCCAGCAACATAGTCATTACGCTAACTGCTGGTTCCCACAACCAGCCATTTAGAACCCAACTCCTTTAACCACTAGGCCACAGGGTTAGTCCAGGTGACTTATTGTCTTTCTATTTAAAAAAAATATATTTTATTTAACTTTATCCATTTATTTTAATTTGATCAGAGAAGGATAAAGTGAGAGAGTGAGAGAGAGAAAGAGAGAGAGAAAGAAAAAGAAAATGAGAAAGCAAGCTGCCAGGTCCATGACTCAAACTGTTTAAGTGATATTTAAAACAAATAAATGTTTTTCAAAAAAAGTGGTGGAGGGAGGAGCAGGACTAGCAGATGGTGTGGTCGTTAAGGATCTGGACACTCCCACACGGTCAACCATGTTTCGAGTTCCCGATCTGGTGGCTTGCTTTCTCACCTCCTCTCTCTCTCTTTTTGTATATGTGTGTCTCTCTGGTCAAATTAAAAGTAAATAAATAATGGGACCAATAGTTGGCGTAATGGCTATGTCGCTGGACTCCCATGTAGTCGACCACAGTTCGAGTTCCAGCCCCAGTGGCTTCCCCAAGTGGCTTAAACTCCCGCTGGGCACGTGTGCGTGCCCACGATCCTGAGAGGAGAATGGAGGAGAAGGAATTACGGCATGGCCATCTGCCTTGGGGGGTGATTTCTCACTTTCTCGCTCTCTGTCTTTCTAGAGAGCGCATGTGCCCTATAGCAAAAACCTCTCCAAAAAAAAAAATTAAATGATTCCTTAAAAACAAAAAAGAAAATCATCTATACAAGATCATTAAGATGGCTGCACATTCCCATGCATCGCTGTATTATAATGTATCTAACCATTTCATATTTTAGAGACCTAATTTTATATATTAAAAATATTTATTTATTTTAAGGTCTTTGCCATAGGGTGTGTGCACTTTGCAGAGGCAGAGAGAGACATTGAGAGGAAAAGTGAGAAATCACCCTCCAGGGAGATGGCCACACTGCAATCCCTTCTCTTCCATCCTCCTCTTGGGATTTTGGACATACACACATACATATTAGAGTAAGTTTCAAGCTGCTGGATCTAGGACTTGAACCACAGTCAGCCATGTGAGAGTGCAGTGCTTTAACCAGAGCCACCAGCTGGCTCCAATTATTTATATTATTATCACAAATTATTTTAAAATTATTACAAATAATACTATTATTATTCCTTCTCTTCTTAAAAAATATTTTCAAACAATTATTTTATTTATTTATTTATTTATTTACTTATTTACTTATTTATTTATTTTAATTTTACCACAGAGGTTCAGAGTGAGAGAGAGAAAGAGAAAAGTGAGAAAGCAAGCTGCCAGGTCCAGGACTCGAATCACGGTCAGCCATGTGGGAATACAGCGCCCTTAACCATCATGCCAACTGTTGACCCCAAAACTAGTTTTTTAATTATTTATTTAATTTTATTCACTATTATCATTATATTTTAATTTGCTACAGGGCACATGCACTCACCAGCAAGACAGTGAGAGAGAGGGAAAGCAAGAAAGCAAGCTGTCAGGTCTGGGCTCAATGCACGGTTGGCCATCTGGGAGTCCAGTGCGCCAACCATCACGCCATCTGCTGGCCCCTCTTTCCTTCTTTATGGATTATTTCCATGGAATAAAATGGAATTCTCGGGGAAAACGGCTAAAATGGAAAAACCTTACACCAGCGCCACCATCCTTGGTATACCAAAATCATCACAACAGAATCAGCATCACGTGCTTCAGTTATTTTTGGCTAACTATACCCCTGGGAATCTGTATTTCATTATGTCTTACCTTGTTACCAAAGTACAGTTACTTTCTAAAAACTTTTGCCAAAGATTCAATTTCACACAGATTCAATAAGATAATGTGTCCCCGAAGATGTTCCCACTGAAAGTAAAGCCCAGGTATGTACCTGCAGAGGAGATCAATGGGAGCTATGACAATTTCTATATCCTTTCTATTGATAAGTGAAGCTTGGGCTCTGATAAATCTGTTCAAAGGCAGTCAATCTGTACAATGCTGTTTTCTGAACATTCTATAAATTTTCTATTACACCTACACCATTATGTTTGAACTGCATATAAATTTTATTAAAATAAAATCCACACATTAAATTCACCACAGTATGTGACTCTCAGTCTCCCAAGGAGCTGGGACCACAGACGCATGCACCACCAAACCCAGCTTTGTAGGGCCAGGAGTTGAACCCGAGTCTCTCATGTGGCTCCAGCCTGCTGAGCAGTAGTATCTCGCATGTGCTATGGCAACTGTGGCCTACAAGTCACCATTTTAGCCACATACAGTGTACAATAAAGTGGCTTTTAGTTCATTCAAAACATCGTACAACCATCACCACTATGTAATAGAACGCTTTCAACACCCCAATATCTTACTTTCCATACTGTATATATGTGAGTGCGCAAGATACAATGCACTAGGGAATTGGAGGAAGGGGATTAAGAAAGGGACAGTCCCGGTGTGGGGTGCTCATCTTTCTCTCTCTCTCATGCACATGCACTCTGTCATGAATAGAAGAAATAAAAAAATTAAAAAAAAAAAAAACACACTTAACCCATTAAGCTAAACAGCTACACAGTCATACGGCACATAACAACACTGTAGTTAAAGACAGGCTGCATACATGAGGGTGGTCCCATAAAAAGAATGTATCAGATAGCTTAGGTGTGTAGTAGGTTATACCATCTAAGTTTTGTGTAAGAACATCTATTTTTAATTTGACCAAAGAGGGACAGAGAGAGAGAGAGGTAAAGTGAAAAAGCAAGCCACCAGGTCCAGGACCCGAACTATGGTCAGTCATGTGGGAGTCGAGCACCTTAACCACCATATCACCTGCCAGTCCCATCTCTACTCTCTTTTTACTCTATTACAACTGAAGCTCCTTTGCTCACCAAAGGGCATGAAATTACAGGGCTGGCAGGTGTTGTGGTGGTTAAAGGCCCTGGACTCTCACCGGGCCAACCACACTCTGAGTCCCAGACCTAGAGGCTTGCTTTATCACTTTCCCTCTCTCTCTCGCTCACTCTGTCCCTCTCTGGTCAAATTAAAAATAAATAATTTAAATAAATAAATAAGTAAATAAATAAGTAAAAATAATTCTTAAAAAGAAAGAAATTACATTGCCATAGATTAGCAGCACTGAGTTAACCATTATCTAAATGGTTAAAATAGTGATATATCAGACCTTCTCTTCTTTTTCAAGAAGTTATGTCATCAATTTTAAGTAAAAGAAAAAGTATATTCATAAATGCTAATGTCATCATGCTTCTTTTTAAAGACAGCTATGCCATTTTCTTTTATTTAATTTTATTAATTTCTTGTTATTCTTCAATTTGACCAGTGAGAGAGAAAGAGAAAGGAGAGAGGAGAGAGCAGAGACAGAGAGAGAGAGAGAAAGGGAGAATGAGAAAGCAAGCCACCAAGTCCACGATTTGAATCTCAGTTGGCCATGTGGGAGTCCAGTACGTTAACCAGCATATCACCTACTGGCCCTATCACTGTGTGTTTCATTTTTTTTCCTTTTTAAAATAATTATTTTATTTATTTATTTATTTAAATTGGACCAGAGAGGGACAGAGTGAGAGAGAGAGACAGGGAAAATGAGAAAGCAAGCCACCAGGTCTGGGACTCGAACCACGTTCGGCCATGTGGGAGTCCAGCGTGCTTAATCACCAAGCCACCTGCTGGCCCCTCACCATGTGCCTTTTTTTTTTTTTTTTTTTTTTGTGGAGGGTTTTTTTTTGAGAGGTTTTCGCTATAGGGCACATGCGCTCGCCAGACAGACATAGAGAGAAACAGAAAGAGAGAAATCACCCCCCGGGGGGATGGTCATGCTGCAATCCCTTCTCCTCCATTCTCCTCTCAGGATTTTGGGCACGCATGCACATGCACCCGGCGTGAGTTTTAAGTCACCGGGTCTGGGACGCGAACCGCGGTCGACTATGTGGGAGTCCAGCGACATAGCCACTACACTAACTGCTGGTCCCCACCATGTGCTTTTTTAAAAGGGATACAAAGCTAGTGTATGATTTTTCAACTGTTTGTGACAAATATCTGGAATTGGGCCAGTCATAGCAATAATGCAATATTCCATGACATTGAAGCCACACAGGAAGGACCCAAGTTCATGTCCCGCAGTTTTCCTATACCATCAGAGGCATGTGCATGCCCATGATCCTAGCTGGCTGAGGCTGGGGATAGATCATGGTGTGAAGTCCCTGTTGAGGGTGGCTGTCTCTCTCTGTCTCTTTCTTTCTCTCTCTCATGGGAGAAAAAAACTTATATATATATAAAAAAAAGGACTGCATACGTAATATCTTAAAACAACACAAACTTATTACCTCACAAAGGCCATCAGAGTATGGCTGGAATCACTGCTCAAAATTTTCCTAAGCTAATATCAAGGCATCAGTCAAGGCTACAGTTCTCACTGGTGGTTTGCTGTCCTCTAACAGACTCACTCATTTGTTGACAGAATTCATTTCCTCATCATCAAGCCAGCAACAGCACAACAACAAAACCTTTTCATACTTTGAATTTCTCTGAATTTCCCTTCTGTATGAGTTGGAGAAAGAACACTCCTTTTAAGGGGTCACTTGATTAGATCAAGCCCATAGAATAATCCTCCTAATTTAAGGTCAGCTGTGCCACATAACATAACATAATCATGGGAATTATATATCGCCATATTCACAGGTTCTTGGGATTAGGGTGGTACATCTTGGGTTTGGGGAGCATTTGCATAAATCTATCACGACCACAAAAAAATTGTAAATATCAATTGAAACACCTTTCTTACCTGTTAATAATAAACCATGCAACAGTAAGCATTCCTGTTAGCCATGTTCCACTCATAAGCCAACTTGTAACAAATAAAGCAGTAACATATATTCCTTGCAATCCAAAAACAATGCCAATATAGAAATACACTGGCTCAATAATTTCCTGCATGGGAAAAAAGAGAGGGATAATAAACAGAATGACAATAAATCATTTGAAAATTCATAAATATGTGACAAAATGAAAATTAAAGTCAAAAGGAAAATACATACATTGCTCCCAGTTGCTTGATATAAAACGCTGGCGATTAGTTCTGGATAGAGAGACATCTGCTGTACTGCATTTATAGTTTTCAGAGATACAGTTTTGTTATTGTGTGTCAGTTCATAAACACCTAAAGAAAGATTTTCTGCAGATTATTTGCTTTCACAATAACCTAATAAAAAGTCATTTATTAGTAATTAAACACTTGACATTGGCAGGAAAAATCCCAAAATGTAATTCCATGCCTCATTTTTCTAATTTTTTCCCTTAGGTTTTTGCCATGGAATGTATGTGCTTTCTAGAAAGAAACGTGAGATGGGCCGACAGGTGGTGTGGTAGGTAAAGGCACTGGACTGCCACATGGTTGATCACGGGTCAAGTCCCGCATCTGATGGCTTGCTTTCTCGCATTCTCTCTCTTTCTCTGTGTCTCACTCTGGTCAAATTAAAAATAACAAAAATGATAAAATAAAGGAAATAATTCTTTTTTTTTTTTTTTGGAGAGGTTTCCACTACAGGGCGCGTGCGCTTGCCAGACAGACAGAGAGAGACATAGAGACAGAAAGAGAGAAATCATCCCTCAGGGGGAATGGTCACGCCGCAATCCCTTCTCCTCCATTCTCCTCTCGGGATCATGGGCACGCACGCACACACGCCCGGCGTGAGTTTTAAGCCACCGGGTCTGGGACACAAACTGTGGTCAACCACATGGGAGTCCAGCAACAATAGCCATTACGCTAACTGCTGGTTCCCAAGGAAATAATTCTAAAAAAAATAAAAAGAGAAAAGAAATCATCCCCCAGAAGGGATTACCATGCCACAATCCCTTCTCCTTGAGATTTTGAGCATACGTGCACACAAATACAGCATGATTTTCAAGCCGCTGGGTCCAGGACTAGAACTGTGGTCAGCCATGTAGGAATCTAGTGCCTTAAGTACCTGGCCACCAGCTGGCTCCATCTTTTTTCTAATTTTTAATTATATATGATAAAGAGAAATAACTATGTTCTGAGACAAATACACACATTAGAAGACTCCAATATAAAACTTAATTTAGGTGACCAGAAGGTGGCATGGTGGTTACAGTGCTGGATACTGCCACATGGCTGACCACAGTTCAAGTCCCAGACCTGGTAGCTTGCTTTCTCAGTTCCTCCCTCTCTCTCTCTCTGTCAAATTAAAAATAAGTGAATAAATAAAAAAAATTAAATAAATAAATTTTAAAATAACTTAATTTAGATAAATATTTTGGGGCTGGCAGGTGGTGTGGTGGTTAGGCGCTCAACTCTCACATGGCTGATTATGGTTCAAGTCCAGGACCTGGCAGTTTGCTTTCTCACCTTCCTTATCTCTCTCTCTGTCATTCTCTGGTCAAATTTAAAAAATATTAATAATAATGAATGAAACTAAATAAAGTAATTCTCTAAAAAAAGAAAAATACTTTATTAAAAATAAAACAGTAATTATCATACCTCTTTCAAATGAAGGCGCCTTTAACATATCTTTATAATAGGAGTAATAAATAGCACTGTCCCCCTGAAAAGTGATTTCCCGCTCAAGTTCCTAAAAGAAAATAGAACAATTAAATACCAGTGTTTTAAATTTCTGCTAAATCTTCCATGACCCACTTCATCTATATTAACATGATACTTATTTATACTTTAATTCAAAGGCATGTGTGAATTTCCTTTAATCACCAGCAGTCATGTTAATGAGGTTAAACGTCAGTAATATGGCAATCATTTTAATGATACATTAAAGGTTTCAAATGGATTGTAATTCATAAGTCGTTACTTGTTTCCTAAAGATAGCAAGAACAATAAGGCAAATAGTGAAAAATGATAATAGAAGTGTTAGAAGTCCATATTGAAAAGACAAGTTAAAGAAAATAGCATTTTCTACTACTATTCCACATCCCCGTAGATCCAGAACATGCCCTTAATGAATACTTTTTTTTTTACAGGTATGGAATTAATGAATACTTTTTAAAACAGCAGGTATGTCACTCTACTTTTCCTTCTCCCTTTTATGTTCTGCTACAAGTCAAATGCATGTGTGCACACTGGCTAGAGGGAGGGAGGAAGAAAGAGAAGGTAAATAAATAATTATGGGGGGGGGGATGGCCACACTGCAATCCCTTCTCCTCCATTCTCCTCTCTGTATCTTGGGTAAAGATGCACATGAGTCCAGGGTGTTTTTTGTTTCATTGTTTGTTTGCTATAGGGCACGTGCGCTCGCCAGACATACAGAGAGAGACAGAAAGACAGAAAGTGAGAAATCACCCCCTGGGGGGATGGTCACACCACAATCCCTTCTCTTCTCGGGATCTTGGGCACGCACGCACACATGCCCAGCATGAGTTTAAGCCACCGGGTCCAGGACTGGAACCGCGGTCGACTACGTGGGAGTCCAGTGACATAGCCATTACATCAACTGCTGGTCCCTCCAGGGTATTTTTCAAATAGGTCAGGGACTCAAATTGCATAGTCAACCATGTGGGGCCCAACCACTACACCATCTGGCTGGCCTTTCATTTTTGAAAAAAATAAATTTTATTGTGTTACTTAAGGAATACAAAGTAATGTTAAAATACATAAGGGTAAATGGTTACTATAGTGAAGCAAATTAACATATTCTTCATCTTATATGGTTATCTGTCCATATTTTTCCCCCTGTGACAAGAGTAGCTGTAAACTACTCATTTAGCAAAAGTCTAAGAAATACACTATTTTTGGGAACCAGCGGTTAGCGTAATGGCTATGTCGCTGGACTCCCATGTAGTCGACCGCGGTTCTCATCCCGGACCCGGTGGCTTAAAACACGCCGGGCGCGTGTGCATGCGTGCCCAAGATCCCAAGAGAAAAATGGAGAAGGGACTGCGGCATGACCATCCCCCACTGGGGAGTGATTTCTCACTTTCTGTCTCTGTCTCTGCCTGTCTGGCAAGCCCACGCGCCCTATAGCGAAAACCTCTCCAAAAAAAAAAAAAATACACTATTTTTAAAAAGTTTTTGATATAGGGCACATGCGCTCAGTAGTGAGAGAAAGAGACAGAGACAGTGGGCTAGAGAGAAATGACCCCTGGCAGGGGGCAAGGGGAAGGTGGTGTGATGGTGACGCCATAATCTGTTCTCCATTCTCTTGAGATTTTGAACATGTATGCACAGGTGCCTGGCCTCCCCTAAAATTTTTTAATTTCTAACAATAGGCTATATAGAACCAAGAAGAGAGTAGTATATACCTCTCTTTTTTTTTCTAAGAGAGATTTTTGCTAGAGGGATTATACACTCTCCAGAAACAGAGAAAGTGAGAAGCCACTCCATCCCCGAGAGGGGACATCCACAATCCCTTCTCCTCCATTCTCTTCTTGGGATTTTGGACACACATGCACATGTGCCTAGCAGAGAGTTTCAAATCACTATATCTGGGACTACAACTACAGTCAACCATATGGGAGTGCAGTGCTTTAACTACTGCGCCACCTGCTACACCCAGTGAGTAATCTCTTAAACTGTTGGGCCAGCAGATGACATGGTGGTCAATGTGCTGTACTTTCTTTTTTAGGGCGAGAGATGTTTTTGCTATAGGGAGCATGTGCTCTGCAGAAAGACAGAGAGAAACAGAGAGACAGAAAGCGAGAAATCACCCCCCAGGGGAGATGGCCACACCACAACCCCTTCTCCTCCACTCTCCTCTCAGGATCTTGGGCACGCACACACATGTGTCCGGCATTAAGCCACAGGGTCTGGGACTCGAACCACGGTCGACTTCATGGGAGTCCAGCAACACAGCCATTATGCTAACTGCAGGTCCCAAGGCACTGTACTTTCACATAGCTGAATGCAGTCCAAGTCCTTGACCTAAAGGCTTGATTTCTCACCTTCCCTCTCCCTACCCCCGTCACTCTCTCTCTTTGGTGAGCGCACTTGCTCTATAGCAAATTTTAAAATAATAATAATAAATAAAATTAAATAATTCTTTTAGAGAGATTTTTGTCACAGAGTGTCTAAGCTCACCAGAGAGACAGAGACAGAAAGTGAGAAATCACCCCCCACAGGGGGACTGACCACGCCACAATCCCTTCTCCTCTATTCTCTTCTCATGATTTTGGACACGCATGCACATGTGCCCAGCATGAAATTCAAACCTCTGGGTCCAGGATTCAAACCACAGTCGCGTATGTGAGAGTCCCGTGACATAACCATTATGTCACTTGCTGGTTCAAAATAAATAATTCTTTTAAAAAAATCTTTGTTTATTTCATGTTTAACATTTATCAATTAACAAAACCAGAAGATACTAGTTAGAGCAATTTTTCCAAAGTCTGATCAACAGAGCTTCCTAAGATGTTACTGAACATTGCCTAATAAGATTTCTATAGTTTGGAGCCAGCAGATGGCATGGTGGTTAAGGGAAATCGATTCCCAGAAGGCTGACTGTAGTTTGAGTCCCGGACCTGTCAGCTTCCTTTCTGGCTTTCCCTTTTTCTCTTCCTCTCTCACTGTCCATCTGGTCAAACTAAAAAATAACAACAACAAATGGAATTAAATAAATAAATACTTTTTAAAAAGAGAATTATTTTATTTAATTTTACATATTCATTCATTTATTTTTTTAATTTGACCATAGAGAGACCAGAGAGAGAGAGGTCCGGGATTTGAACCATAGTCAGCCACGTGGGAGTATCCAGCGCCTTAACCTCCATGCCACATGCTGGTCCCCAGTAAATACTTCATTAAGAAAAAAAAAGATTTCTATGGTTTAGGGGGCCAGCAGGTGGTGCAGTAGTTAGGAGTACTGAACTCCCACACGGCCAACTGTAGTTTGAATCCTGGACCTGGAGGCTTGCTTTCTCACTTTCTCTCTCTTTCTCATTTGTCCCTCTCTGAAAAAAATTAAAATAAATAAAGTTAAATAAAATAATTCTTTAAAAAAAGATTTCTATGGTAAAATACACTTTGAGAAAGACTAAACAAATTTAAATAGATTTTTTTTACATTTTTTTCTTTCTTTATTTACATTCATTCACTGTACATCATTATAGCATACGAAATGAGATTTTTCCATTGAGAATACACTTTATATTGGCTCAATCAAGCACATCAACATATGTGTTATTGTCAACAAATCATTTTCCATTTCTTGTTTTCTGTATATTTTGCCTTTTTTCCCATCCTTGATTCCCTATCTCACCCTCTGCCATCTCCCACCCTCCTCCCACACTGTGTCTGGTATCTATTGTTGCTTTCTATGCCTCCCCCATTTTATTATTTCACTAAATATCTTAATAAATCTAAATATTTTCAATAGCAAGCACAGCTGATATGTACATATCCATGAACACAAGTCTGACTTTAGGCAAAATCTCAGTGAATAGAATGAACATACTATAAAGTAGCACCTAACTAGGGCTATATAGCTTAACTGCAGTCATCAAATAGGTATTTCTAATGCCTTTTTTTTCTTCTGAAATTTTTTTTTATTAATTTACATTCATTCCCTGAGCATCATCACAACATTCTAAATGTGGTTTCCCATCTAGAATATACTGCATAGTGGCTTAATAATGCATGTTATCATCCATAATAGTCCATTTCTACGTTCATATATATGTTTTTTACCCCATGTCTAGCCCTCTGCCCTATTCCACTCTCTTATTACACTATCTCTGCTGTCTACAGTTGTCTTCAATTCCTTTTCCCCCAACATTTCGTTGATCACACAATATCATAAGTAATCTA